AAAAAAAAAAAAAAAAAAAAAAAAAAAAAAAAAAAAGAAAAAAAGTCCTTTAGTGTCACACTCAGTGCTTAGAATGGAATGAAGTCCAAGTGCAAAGGAGTGGGCTTGTCTGGGTGGGTTGTGCAGCCCTGAAATACAGATCATCATCATAATTATTATTATTGTTGTTATTATTATTATTATTTGGTGATGGCTCCTCCTGGATGGGGGGGGGAAAAAAACAATTCTGTCCAGTGCTCAAAATTTTGGTTTTCACCTCCAAAACGTTGCTAGATTTAAATGTCAAACTTAATCTTTAGATTCTTTTAAACCAGCAAGGGGGTCACAGACTCAGCTTCCCTCAGACCCCCGTGGCTCTGTGTGGTGTCACCAGCTAACGGTGCTGCCAGAGCAGTGTTTGGGAGTGGGAGTGGGGTGTGGGGGAGAGGGAGGATGTGTTTGTGTTGGGAGTTTTCTCTGGAAATCGGGGAGATTGGTGTTATCCCAGGCTGAGGGAACCATTCCCGCATCACAGACCCAAGTGCTGGTGCTGCTCAGTGCCAGGTTTACCAAACAAAGCCAATTCACAAGATAAACTCCCAGAAGTTTCTGTCCTTCCCTTTCTCCCCCTCTGGGTGTGACGTAGAGGTACCTTCATGGACAATTCCTGTTCCATCCCCTGCCTTTTCCCATTCCTTCCCAAACGGAGGCCGTGTCAGCCCTCAGGAGCTGTGCAGAGATCCCAGGGTTTGTCCCTGTGCAGAGATCCCAGGGATTGTCCCTGTGCAGAGATCCCAGGGTTTGTCCCTGTGCAGAGATCCCAGGGATTGTCCCTGTGCAGAGATCCCAGGGTTTGTCCCTTCCAACTGCTCCTGAGGGGAGTTTTTCCCAGGCTGCACACGAGCCCTGTGATGGTTTCCTGCGGACCTGACGATTCCAAATTGACCTGCTATGCCAAATAAATTTGCTTTGTTGGAAACGCCCTCCCCTGGGAGCTCCATCCCTGTGGAGGGGGTGGCAGAGCTGGTTGGAGCAGGTGGGCTCAGGGCTTCCCCTTCCCCTCTTCCCTTCCTTCCCCCACATTCCTGCTCTTCCTCTCGGAGGGATTAATCCAGGATTGCCCAGTTTAGCCTGGCCAGACCTGCTGCAAATGCCTGTCCAGGTGGGAAACTCCCGTTGGATCCAAGGTCACTAAACCAACAGTTTGGAACAGTTGGGTGGGCTGAAGTGGTTCAGAGCATTAACGGATACAAAAAGTGATGGATATGGATATAAAAAGGCATGGATAAGGAGGATATTTGGGCAAAGCTGATTTTTCTGGAGTTTCTGCATTTCCTGAAAACTCTGGCTTGTCTGTGGGCCCTCCCTGGCAGCGGGACAGAGGGAATGGCACGTGGGGAGAGAAATCCAGGACTTCTGCTTTATTGCACTGACAGCCCCAAATTGGGCAATCTGCTGCCTCATCTGCTCCCTGCCGGGGCTGGGAGCTGTAAAGGTCAGGCCTGGACGGGGTGGTGGCCATGCAGTGGCACCAGCTGGCTGGGCACTGCTCCCAGGGCACATCCAACACCCCCCCCCCTGCCTGTTTTGGGAATGCCTCAGAGCCCCAGGGTTGGGAAGGTGGAGATGTTTTTCCCTGGTTTTGGTAGGGGTGGAGCTCAGGTGGGGGTTACCAGCACGTGCCTGACGGATAAAAGCAGGAATAGAAGGCACTTCTTCCTCCCTTCCTCTGCTCTGGAACCACCTGTGCTTCCCAACAGCCTTTGCAGGAACCAGGCTGGAGCTTCAGCCCGCTCTGGGAAGTTCTCCCCACTTGGAGAGCAATCCCAAAACAGTTTGGGATGGAGGGCACCCTAAAGCCCATCCCGCTCCATCCCCTCCACGGCGGGGGTTTGTTTGTGGGGTTTGCCTGTCATTGGTCAGCGAATCAATTGAATTTGTCCTTTAAAAGGCAAATGTAAATTCCAGAGTTCACAGACCTTTATTTTTAAGCATCCTGGGATGTGGGATGACCCTGTCTTTGGCTTTCCAGGATGTGCTCTCTGCACGTCCGAGATAAGAGGCCTTTTGGTAAATTGTCCTGGCTAAAGCATCTCCTTTGGCTGATGTTTTAATTAAACCTTCACCCTTCGGTGTTTTAAATTTCCTCTGCTCTTGCTGCTCGAGATTTTTGTGCTCCCAATCCCATCGAGTCATGGTTTGCTTCCCTGCCATTCCAGGTGCCATCCTGGGCAGGTCAGAGACTCAGGAGTGCATCTACTACAACGCCAACTGGGAGAAGGATAAAACCAACCGGAGCGGGATCGAGCCTTGCTACGGGGACAAAGATAAGAGGAGACACTGCTTTGCCACCTGGAAGAACATTTCTGGGTCGATTGAGATCGTGAAGCAGGGCTGCTGGCTGGATGACATCAACTGCTATGACAGGTGAGGCGGTTTCCCTCGGGATTGGGGGATTTATTTGCGGTTTTCCGCCCTTTTCCCCCCATTCCTGCACCGTCCCCTCTGCCAGCGGTGCTTGAGACAGGAGATAACACATATTCTGTGAATAGTTATCTTATAATTGTCTTGCACGTGAATAATTATATGTGACTGATTATGTTCTGTGCCCTCTGTTTTTGCTCATTTGTATTTAGGGTCCAGATTTCACCTCAGTGCTTTATCTTGTTTGCTGAGTACTGTATTTTACCTTCTTTTATTTACTTACCATCTATTAAAAAAACACCCCAGGTATTCAGTTTATGCTCCTTTAGGCCATTAATAATAGATTTTCTACTGCCTCGTTGCTGCCCAAACAATGCAAATAACAGTTGTTGCACCCAGGATGCAAAATTCTAGAGGTTCTTTTTTTTTTAACTGGGCTCTTCCAAAGACTTTGGAGTAGGAAAACCAGCACTTTTGTGCCTGCAGTTCACCAAACCATGGAAGTGTTTTGCCAGTTTATTTAAAAAGCTTGAGAGAGACACTGAATATCCTGAATTTTCCAGTCATTCCTTTAATAACAGATGGCCCTGCAAGTCCCCACGAGCAGGAACAGCAGGACTTGGGGTGTGTTGGATCCTGGCTGAATAAAGGTCGTGACTCCCTTAGGAAATGGCATTTACAGTTTGTAAAGTACAGCACTGGGTTTGTTGGGCCAGAATTGCTTACAGAGGGAGAGAACTGAAAAACGAAGGCACTGTAAGATATTCATTAAAAAAAAAAAATAAAAAAAAATCCTGAGATTAAATTCTCCCTCGAGCCGAGAAAAGGAAATGGAAGGAGAAATAAAATATGGGAAGGATGGCAAGGAAATAGTTAGGAACTGAGTAAGAAAATCTGTGTGTGCTCATTAACCAAGCTGTGCTAATAGCACACCCCGACTGCTGTGTTTGTCCAGAACATCCCAAATCTTATCTCTGCAGTGGCTTCACTGGACAGGGAGTCATGGAATGATGAACTCCAAACATGGAGAACATCAAAGGGAAAATGTCCCCCGGAATTACAGCACGTTGAAGCTGCAGGGGCTGGCCCTGTGCAATAACCCTGAGTTTTGAAGATGAGCCCAAAGCGCTCTTGGCAATCTTCAGCTGTGTTTAAAAGCCTCAACTGCATCTGGATTTTCAGATTCCCTTCCTGCTCCGGGCTTGGGTCCTGCCTGGTCCTTATTTCTCCTCCCAAACTTGAACAGTTTCACCTTATTTGTTGCTAAAGCTCCTTTCCTGCAGTTGATCCATGGAGTGGAACAAGTCCTGTCTCTGAGCAGGGGGGACTGTACAAATTTTATATGTTTTTTTTTTTTGGCTAAAAATCCCGTAAAATTCCAAAACTCCCCTTGCCACTTCCCCCCAGCCGTTCACTGCCGAGTAAGATGAGCGCAGATAAATTTACATTTTTTTTCCCCTAAAACAAGTGGAGATGGATCAACATTTCCCTGTTCCCCTCTGGCAGGAACGACTGCATAGAGAAGAAGGACAGCCCCGAGGTGTTTTTCTGTTGCTGTGAGGGCAACATGTGCAACGAGCGCTTCTTCTACTTCCCGGAGATGGAGGTGACGCAGCGTAAGTTCCTTGGACACTTTGGGCCGGGAATATTCCCCGTGGGGCTCGTGCAGGGTGGGAAGAGGCTTCTCCCAGCCTCCTGGGGTGGTTTTCCTGCAGGATGGGTCATGATTCCTGAGTGGAAAAGCTCTGTGTGTTCGTCCAGTTTGGAGAAGGTTCCTCCCTTGGAGTGATTTAAATTGGTAAAAGGAGCTCCAGCTCTTTTTTTCCGAGGGTGAGGAGGAAGGATAATGTGAAATAATTGGCTGTTTTAGATACAGAAGTTACTGTCAAATCTTACCTTAATTGTACAGTTAA